CTCACACACACACACACACACACACACACGCACACACACACACACACACACACACACACACACACACACACACACCGAAAATAGGCATCGCGCACAGTGCGCACCTTGCACGGGTAGCGCGTCCCCATGCGCTGCACGCATGGCGCACATGCGCGCGCGGTGTCACCGCGCGCATTCCGCACGGCGCAGCGCACCGCACTAATGCGTCGCAAGTATGGTATACACCTGTAGAGTTCATGTCTGCTAGGATGCCTTCAGAGAAGGTAGCGACATCTACCTACGAGAGGGAACTCTATGCTCTCAGGCAAGCGCTAGATCACTGGAAGCACTACTTGCTTGGGAGGCACTTCAAAGTCTATTCAGACCACGAGACGCTGAGGTGGTTGAAGACACAGGCCAAGATGACACCTAAGCTTACTAGGTGGGCCGCAGAGATAGATCGGCACGATTTTGAGCTCAAGCCGGTCAAGGGAAAGTATAACGTAGTTGCGGATGCTCTCAGTAGACGAGTGAGTAGACGAGCCAATTATTTTGGGGCAATAGTACACTACTTAGACATAGGGAGATACCTACAACAGAAAGTTAAAGAAGCGTATGCACAAGACCCTATCTATAGCGACCTCCTCAAGAGAGTTAAGGAGGCCCCATAGACTGAACCAGATTACCGCACTACTGATGGGTTGTTATTTGAGAAGACTAATGTAGTTGACCGTCTGTGCGTCCCCAATAGCGAGGAAATCCGTAGCTTGATCCTAGGGGAATTCCATGACACAGAGGGACACTTTGGTTGGCAGAAGACACTAGCCAACCTCGCACACGCGTATACGTGGCCAGGCATGAAGAATGACTGCATATATATGTCCGCAGTTGTAAGGTATGCCAAAGGAACAAGACCACTACGCGAGCTCCTCTAGGTCTTCTCAGACCCTTGCCTATTCCTGATAGACCCAAAGATTCAGTGTCCATTGATTTTATGGATATTGGGGTAAAGAGTAGGCATGGCAAGAGCCAAGTCATGGTCATAGTTGATAGATTTAGTAAGTACGCAATTTTTGTTCCCTTGCCCTTAGAGGCACGAACAGATTTAGTTATAGATAAGTTTTTTGATCATTGGGTCAGTGAGTATGGTATACTGCTTTCTATAGTTAGCGATAGAGATACCAGATTCACTAGTCAGAACTGGCAGGAGTTGATGAGATTTTATGGCTCCAAGTTGATGATGTCATCTGGCCGTCACCCAGAGACTAACGGTTGGACTGAACAGATGAACAAGATCCTGCAGCAAGTTCTGAGAATGTACATTAGACCCGATCAGGCGAATTGGGATGAGATGCTCCCAAAGGTAGCCAGCGCGAATAACAATAGTATCTATCTACCTGTCGCACTCCCAATGAGCATCATAAGTCCATTAGACCACGTAGACCGTTGGAAGGACTGAACCGGGACCAAGTACAAAGGCTACCACCCGTACAAGGGAGTTTGCGATACAGCATGAGAAGGAGATAGCTACTGTTATAGAGAAGCTCAGGAAGGCCCAGCATAGAATGATAGAGCAAGCTAACAAGCATCGTCGCCCATCAGAGTTTCAAGTAGGTGACTTAGTCTGGGTCAAGTCAAAGGAGTTTGCTCCTGAGGAGAACATCTCGCAAAAGCTATTGCCTGCGTATAGATGACCATGGCCAGTCTTAGAAGTCAAGGGCGGAGAGGATGGACCGTCCTACACTATCGAGATCCCAGCACACCTCCACACATATCCCGTTTTCCATGCGTCAAAGTTATTACCTTGCACGACAAGTCAACAGTTTCCATCGAGAAGATCGATGCTTCCTCCCGATATGGACGGAAGATATGACATTGATCGTATAGCTGACGAGGATGTGTTCAGGACCGGAGGTAGAGGTCGTCCACAGAAGCAGTACAAAGTCAGATTCTCTTATCAAGAGCCAGAAATCGACCGCTGGTTTACACGAACAGAACTTCTAGAGACCACTCCCGATGTAGTTCGCGCC